TCTGAGTAGGGACCGGGTTTTTGTTGTCTGCTTGAGTTTGTTCTACACGTAGTAACCACGAATCTTTATAGAAGAAGAAGAAGAGCTATGGCCTCTGCTACTGAAGACCGTGACCTTCAAGGTCAACATCCTACTACTACTACTACTACGACGACGACTACTACTACTACTACTAGTACTAGTCATCGTGACTGTAACTGCGACGACGACGACGACTGCCACTACTAGTGTGACATACAAAACGTCATTCTGTGCTGTGGACCGCACCGTACCAAACCTCCTGAAAGAGTCACAACAACGAATGTAAGCAATAATACAGAGAACATGAGCACTATCACTAATCATACTACCAATTACGCACAGCAAAAACATCCAGCTAACATTCATGAACATAGGACAAGTAGATTAAGTTGAAGCTGTGCCTGGCTCTCCGGGCCCACCACGAAGCGCTGCAAACACGATTCGTCTTGATACGTGTCGTTGAACCTTCCAGTTTCAGGCTCCGGGTTGTGGGATTAAGCTCTGTGGTTGGGGCTCGAGGGTAGCATGCCCCGTGATAGCTGTGCTTGTTGAGTGATGCATGCAGTACCTATCCTTGCCTACTACTGGTCACAAGTAATACTGATCAGTCGTCCTGTTTGTGCACCGTTTTTAACCCGTAGTAGTAACCCGCTTCTTACAAGTCGCTCAAACATCTTAAACCACCGGAGCATTGTGTCCTAAGTGCATTTTGTAGGACTCCGCATTAGCAAATAGGGGAAGCGTAAGTCGTAAAAGGGGGGACGGCAAGCTTAGGCAGGCCAAACCTCTATCGACTACACCTTGCAGAGTCTCGGAAACGTGAGTGGTCTGTTCAGTACTTGGGGGGTCGAAAGACTTAGTAAGTAGGTAATAAGTAGACTTATAAGTACCCTAAAAAAACCCTAATTGGGGTGATAGTACTTATAAGTCTATAAAATAACCATTTACTAAGTCCCCCGACCCTCCAAGTATGGTTCAGAGGTCTATCTGTTATCTTGTGTTTGCTCTTGTTTGCTAGCAGGGTGAGGCGCCTGAAGGCATCTGTCCCGGCATGTGAGCGGTTGCGGCCCGCGCGGTACCTTGGCTTCGCTGCAGGGACCCTTCAATTCGGTGCAATCGGAGCCATCCTTGGATCTGACTTAGATTGCTGTTTCGGAGGACTAGGGACCTAAGATAGACCCTATAACATGGGGAACCCAAAAAAAGACCAAAGAGCGAAGATCACATAGAGCCTCAAGATAGGATCGTTATCATAAGACAGCGTGCTTTTGGGAAGCCTAGATTTTTTTATCAGGAGTGAAGGACATGCTATGGGGAACTTCTATAGCCCGCAGCATATGAAGTATGGATGAGCTAGCATCTTTACTCTTCATAGGACCGTCGACCCCGAGATGTGGCAAGGAACGAAAAATGACCGACCACATCTTCATAGGGCGCGAACAGCACACACACACACATACACATGCATGCACATGCAAATGCTTAAGTTTACTATTTTTCATCTACTATTCGCTCGGTTTGGTTTTATCGCCCCATCGTAAAAGCTCAAGACACGCTTCGGCCCGTGAGAATTGCCAGGCACCTGCAGTCGGCTTTATGGGCTGCTGTTTGTGTTGGACGGCTTGCTTTAAGCAGCGCCTTTGACTCAAGGGTTCCGGTCAGGGCTTTATCGTTTTTGAGGTTTCGAGGTTCGTGTGTGGCCGAGCGCCATCTCGTCTGAGGTTGGCTGTAGGCTTACTTACAGTTGGGGGGGGGCAGGAAGAGACGCACGGGCTCTCAGTGGAGCTAACTCCCAGAACCGGTCATAATGAACGTGATGATGACGACAGTGATGCGCTGGTAACATGATAGTGCCAGCGCAATCACCGAGTTGTGATTCTGGTGTTGGTCGTGGTGGCGGTGTTAATGCTGATAGTGATGCTGCTGCTTGGATGGTCATGCCGATGACAAATGTGCCGCTCGTGACTTTGCTTTTGCTGTCGCCTATCGCACTCAAGACTTCGAGGCTGGATGCGGCAGTCGCAGTTGCTCCAAATACACGGGTTGCTTGCCACCCACAGGGCTGAAGCTTAGCCTCTCTCGTGAAGACATTCTTGTTAGCCTGCCCCTGAAACCGGAGGGTGGCAGACTTCCCCCTTGAAAGCTCACATTCCACACAGCTACGCCCTCACCCCGATACCCCCCGCAAACTCGAGAGAACTCACAGCCTGGACCCCCGAACCCATAAACCTTAAGTCCATACCCTAACCCTAAACCCTAAACCCTAAACCCTAAACCCTAAACCCTAAACCCTAAACCCTAAACCCTAAACCCTAAACCCTAAACCTAAAGCCCAAACCCAGGAACCTGGAGGTCCAACTCCCTAAATGTAGGGACCCTATAAATCAGAATAGGGCTGTGGGGTTTAGGGTTTAGGGTTTAGGGTTTAGGGTTTAGGGCTGTGGGGCATAGGAAAGTCTAATCATAACCAGGAACCTCCGTAAGGAAAAATATTGGTAGCGAATTATTTAGGCCCCCGATATTGTTACTATCACCATTTGTATTCTTCTTAGTACTATGAGAGTACTATAGGGGCCTTAACAATTTTATACTATGATTAGAATAAGGAATCCCCAAAATACTATAGGTAATTGTTAAGGCCCTATATTAGGAGCCTACTACCTTAAACTTCAGTCCTGCAAGACTTGGGGAGGCACTTCTTAGCTCCAGCGGTCTCGCGACCGTCAGCACCTGAAGCGAGCTGTCTCGGGGCCCACAAGCCCCGAAACTCCAGGGTTGATGTGGGTAGTGCTCTACACTGGGGTCCCTTTTTAGGTCCCGGGTTTAGGGTTTAGGGTTCAGGGCTATAGGGTTATAGGGTTGAGGGTTATAAGTTTTTTTGGGTTTAGGGTTTAGGGTTCGGGTTGGAGGGCTTGGTATTTGGGTAGTCCTCTAAATTAGGGTCCCCTTTTAGGTCCTCAATATAGTGCGGCACCCTTATAAAAAGGACCCCCAAAGGGACCCTAATTTAGAAAACTACCCATGTATTGGTCGTAGTGCCAACTATGAAGATTGCCCAGTGGACGCCGAAGAAGTTACCAAGATACGACAAGGCCTCTATTCAGGGATCTGGAGTATACAACCTGCAAATCTTCTGCAGCCAGCTCCAACGAACTCTTCAAGCACAAAGCGCCCCAAGAGGAGAGTATGTATACAGTCGCTCAGGGTTTCGACGGCAAGTACCCGATGCAACTCGCCAAAAACAACCACAGCAACCTTGCATCACATCTTGGGGGAAGCTGCACTCACAGCTTGAAGTTCCTAGTCTTACCCACGCAGGCAGATTCTGTGAACTATGAATCGCCAAAGCACACCGGAAGCACTCCACAGAACCTGAGAATCCTCGAACGAACCCGTCCGTACTGCAGGCAAGGGGCATCTGTTGAGCCGTTAGTTGCCACGTTCTGCGGCGGGCATACAATGTTCTTTGTCAAGTGGTGCAGATTTGGGAGTCGTTGAAAGCCATGAGCCACGAACGTCAACATGAAACTCAAAAAGTCGTTGGAAAGGCTTATTATTTTGGTGGTTCCTTATTATAACTATAGTACTTGGAGGATCATGGGACTTAGTAAGTAAGGTTATAAGTCCCTTGATTGGGGTCATAAGTAAATATAAGTATAGTTACCTTAATTATAACCCTACTTACTAAGTCCCATGATCCTTTAAGTAAACTCTCAAACTCTGAACATACCGTTTCGGCCTTGACGAACCAGATAAGGGTAGTTCTCTAAATTGGGGTCCCGTTTTAAGTCCCCAGTATAGTACGGCACCCTTATAAAAAGGACCCCAAAAGGGACCCTAATTTAGAAAACTACCCATAAACAGAGCAACCTTAGGGTCTGACCTGTCAGTTGGGGAGGTAACTTCTGTCAAAGCTTTCATAAGGGGCTGTACGCATGCATCATAAGGGTTCTCAACTTCAGTGATACCTTAACCCACCAGAACCTACTCTTGTGTGTAGGGTCCATGTAAATCCCATATTAGGGTTTATAATAAGAGCCCACAAGACAGTGGGTTTTGGTAGGTTAAGGTAGAGCTATGAAAGTGTTATGGGAGCCCTTCAACACTGAAGCCCTCACGCGCTCGAAACTCTGAAACACCACCTGTGTGACCAAAATCACAACTCCCCACAACCCACCCCGAAGGGGCCTTGTCCAAAAGGGAGGCCGTAAGCTCAGCCCACCTCATCCGATGCAGCAGAAACAGATTTTACTACGATATTACCAAACATATCATTAGACTAATATTGCACTAAAACAATAACTATACTAATATTACTACAAATATCAATATAATATTCTGACATACTACAGGTCAAGATCAAGACCAGCCTGGACATGCGGAGACCTTCATCTCTCTCAGGAGAGGAAGTTACCCCTAACTA